CGCCTGCTCCTCGGCCAGCAGCCGCTCCACTCCGGGTACAGCCCCGGCTTCTTCCTACTCCAGGAGCCCGGCGCCGCCACTTCCGCCTCCACCCGCCTCCGGCACGACCCCTAGGGCCTCAGGATACCCGGCCACACTTCCCAAAGGCAGGGATTGGCGGACTCAGCGGTCAGAGGGCGGGACATAAGGCACGGATTGACGGTGTGAGAGAGGACGAGCGGAAAGAGGCGGGACCAAGACAAGCGATTGGCGGAGCAAGTGGGAAGGGGCGGTGCAGATGCAGCCGAGCGAAGAAACGGATTTGGTCAGGAGTTGGGGGGCCAAGTCAAGACTCCACATTGGGTAGTAGCGGACTTGGGGGCGGGGATATGGATGCAAAGAAGAGGGTAAGGACCGGATAGACTAAAGAGCCTAGCAAGTGCGATTTCTGACCTCAGAGGCAGGAAGGATGAAAATTGGGGGAATACGCGCTGGTTAACCACCTCCCTCCTCCCTTTGCAGATAATCTTCCAAGAAGACCTCTGCTCTGCGATTGCTGTCTTCCTCAAGATCCAACTGGCTCATTCCCAATAGTTTCACATCGTTCCATTTATTGGTTTAGAGGACACTACAATTCCCCATTGGGCTGTTCAGATTGTGTGCGATATCTAAGTTTAGGAGCCCACCTCGGGTACCCAGCTTAGAAAAAGTGCTTTTAGTCAGTGAAACTCTACCTAGCAACCATTGACGTTACCGCAGTCAGTGGTTGATTGGCCAGACTCAGGAACCTGGGGACCCATTTCCATTATACCAGTAGATCCCCACCACAAAGACCACAGCGAATCGCAGTTTGCACTTGGCTGATGTATTTGCATAAAGCTGGAAGAAATAAACAGCTGGGACCGCGGTAGGCTGAGCTCACTGGCAGTAGAAATCCCATTTCTGGAAAAGAGAAAAGGAAAACAGTGGGGACAAAACCAGTGGTCACACCACAAAGGATCTAGGGATTTTAGCAAAGGCTATAGCCTTAGGGGCCAAGTTTGGCCACACAAGTGCAATGCAAAATAGCCCAGAGCCCTGTAATCTTGCATCTCTCAACTGCAACAGGACTTAGAAATCATGCCCCATTTTACAGATGAGAAAATTGAGGCAGAAAACTTGTCTCAATATACACAGCTAGGCTTCCAGGCAGCCAAAGGTAGAAGCCTTTTTGACCATTATCAAAACCCAAGGATCCTCCCTCTAGATACCTGCCAGCCCCCAACACACTCACATCTGTCTTCACATCGATTTTGCCAGGTTTCAGGGTCTGGTTCTCCCGTACAATGCTACTGGGGAAAAAGCCCAGGCGAGCAGCCAGGTCTCCATAGTAATCTCCCTGAACCTAGGGAAAAGGGGTTTAAAAGCCTGAGTCTGGGAAAGTGACAAGCTCGCAACTCCTAAAGATCTTTGTACTAGCTCTCCAGGGATCTCCACGTGGTTGGCCCCATCCTTGTCAATCAGATCTCAGCTTAAAGTCACCTGTTCTGAAGCCTCCCTGACCACCTGATGTAGTCACCCATTCACTCACATGCATTTTCAAAGAAGCACATTGGCTAACTTTGATGGTTTGTCTTCTTCCAATAGAATAAAAGGGATTATTTGCACCTTGGCCAGTATGCTCAGTGGTTAGAGTGCCTTGTGCCTGGGAGGATCGAGGATTCAATTCCTGGTCAAGGGCACATACCTGGATTGCAGGTTCGATCTCCCCAGCCCTGGTCAGGGAGCGTGTGGAAGTCACCTAATCTGTGTGTCTCTCATATCGATGTTTCTCCCTTCTCCCCACGTCCTCCCTTACACTCCCTCTAAAAATCAGTGGAAAAAATATCCTCACTCCTTGGATGAGGATTATTTGCTACTAGAGGCCTGGTGCACGAAATTCGTGCACTGGATGGGAGGTCCCCTCAGTCCAGCCTGCGCCCTCTCGCAGTCCCAGATCCCTCTTGTAGTCTGGGACCCCTCACTCCTTACTGCCCGCCTGCTTGCTGCACCTTCGCGCAGCTGCGGAGGCGGGAGCCTCTCCCACTGCTGCGCTCACCAGCCCTGAGCCAGGCTTCCTCCTAAGCAGCACTCCCCCTGTGGGAGCGCACTGACCACCAGGGGGCAGCTCCTGCGTTGAGCGTCTGCCCCCTGGTGGTCAGTGCGCATCATAGCAAAGTCATATTCTGGTTGTTTCGCCGTAATGGTCGCTTAGGCTTTTATTATATAGACTAGAGCCTGCTGCACGAAATTCATGCACTCGAGGGGCGGTCCCTCAGCCCGGCCTGCACCCTCTGGCAGTCCGGGAGTTCTTGCGGGATGTCCAACTGACGGCTTAGGCCCGCTCCCTGGGGAGTGGACCTAAGCTGTCAGTGGGACATCCTTAGCACTGCCATGGAGGCAGGAGAGGCTCCCGCCACCGCCACTGTGCTCGCCAGCCGTGAGCCCAGCTGAGTGCTTCTGGCTGAGTAGCGCTCCCCCTGTGGGAGCACACTGACCACCAGGGGGCAGCTCCTGCATTGAGCACCTGCCCCCTGGTGGTCAGTGCATGTCATAGCGACCAGTTTTTCTGCAATTCGGTCAATCTGTATATTAGTCTTTTATTACATAGGATTATATCTTCAGTGCCTAGAACAGAACTTGGCACCATAGGAGGTGCCCTATAATTATTGCTAAACAAGGTAAAAGTAGATCACAATAGTACCCCTAAACTCTATTTCGGTTCACCCCTCAAATTTTCCCTTTATGTGGAAAATTAGGGTGCACTCCCACACCAGCCCCATACCCCTTCTTCTATTCTCCCAAGACTCACACTGCCTCCCCAGAAGAGCCGACCACGGCCCTTCAGCTTAGAGAAGACATACACAATTTGGCCCCTGTGTATGGTCAGGAAACGGCAGTCGGGGGCTACGTAGTCCTGAAGAGCCACAGCCATGGAGATGGGGTCTGGGGAAGGAATATAAGGGAATGATAACACCCTCCACTCAGGCTGGCAATCCAAGCCCCCCACCCCCAACCCCAACTCTTACGGCTGCATTCCTCATCAGCACACAGCTTCCAGTCAGCCAGCTTGGGCATGGGGCGGCCCCCAACAGTAGGTCCTGGGAAAGCAGACAGCAAGATGACACCGAGGAACACCCTGGACCAAGTCATCATGGACTATGAGCAGGAGAGTGACTAAGCAGGGAACGGGGTCTCCAATTTCCTCCTCCCTCCCTCTTTACAGCAGTACAAGGAATCCTGTGTTCTAAGTTTTGTCCCTGCCCTAAACCAGTCCCAAATTTCGCTCACACCACCTAGAGGCTGCTACCCAGCCAGAACCATTTCAAGGACAGGGTGGGGGCTTCCCACCCAAGGAAATGCCTAGAGCTCCAAAGCTGCCCAGGCTACCCGCTCAGCAGTCAGAGGCCCAGACAGGCAGGCTGAGATATTCAATTCCATCTTCTCCAGTTGGCTTGGGTACCTAGCTTGGAATTTCCTGTGCTGAGGGACAGAACAGGCAGCCCTTTGATTGCCAAGAATAGCGCCAGCTCTCAAATACTGAGTGAATATTATATGTTGGACCTTAGGCTAGGTGTACCCTGCCATGATCATTATTTATCCTCACCAGTCACTTCCTGACTCAGTGACCTGGGCTAAGCTATATTCTCCTTTTGGAGCCTCACCTTTCTCATCTGTACAATAGAGATAAAAGCTAATAGTTCTTTATAATGCATTCACCATTTTAATTACCATATTTTTCCATGTATAAGACCCCCCCCCCTCCCCACTTTCAAACCCAAAACTAAGAACTCAGTATTTTAAACATTTTGCTGGTTTTCCTCTTACTAGTAAGGCCTTCTTTTTGGCATCTTAAGGAGTTCTTCTTCCTGTTTTCTCCACTGTCTGATCATACACTCAGTGGGAGGAGGTCCAAATTGTCTCTCTGCAGCTCTATTTCCATGCTCTTTTGCAGAGCTAATTACATTCAGTTTGAATTTTGCAGAGTAAGACTATCGCTTACCCGTATTTGTCTTTTTATTTTTTGACATCTTTATAGGCTCAGTACGCTCTGGTCCCTGTTGCATCTGTGCACTCTCCACCTCCACCTCCAATTATGGCATCAGCTGATGTCAGTAATAAGGTTCATGATTGGAGGAAGCCTGTTTGACAAGGTATGGTCAGCTATGCACCCATATGGATCCCTCCTCGACTGACTTCCGTGTATAAGATGCCCCTTGATTTTCAGTCTAACGATTTTAGAAAAAATAGCGTCTTATACACAGAAAAATATGGTATGTACTTTTATTGACTCCAACAAATACCCCATTTTGTGTGGAAATAGAAGCACAGAGCCTTAAAGTTGTTCACAAGGTTATAGAGCCAGGAAGTACAGGGGCTAGATTTGGGTCCAGGCCCATACTGAGTTTGGAGTTCAGTTACCCAGAGTTAGAATAAAAAAGTGGAGGATTTGAATTCAAGGCTCACCTCTAAATTGTGCCTCAAATAAGAGAGCCACGTGGTGAGATCATTCTCCTGGGCAGCCATCTCTTTCCCCAGGCATTCTCGCCTTTGGGACAGCAAGTCCAAATTTTTTTAGGGGGGAAGAGGGTGAACAATCAATCTTGGTTGGAGAATTCATCAGGGGCATGTAAAACATACCCAATACCCAGCACCAAGTATCATGAGAACATTCAACAGCTCTACTTAAATGTCACCTCCTCTAGGGGCCTTCCTGAATCACCCAGTAGTCACTGTTCCCCAGCCTCACCCTCTCATCACTCCATGGCGTTTTGCTGGTACACAGTACTTGACATTAGCTTGTCTATTTTATTCACCATTGTATATCCTATACCAAGAACAGTATTTAGCACAGAAAAAGTACTCAGCAAGTATCTGCTGAATTTATTGAGTGCTTGCTAAGTGCCTGGCAGTGGGGAGTAACAGTACAAACAATACCACAGTATTAATATAGATTCCTCTTTACACAAGAAAATGACTGAGTGGGTGAAGGGATAGCTAGGAATGTCTGCATGTCCCCCATGCAGACAGCAGAGACTGGGATCTGCTGACCACAGAACCAGTGTGGTGGGCAAGATGTTTCCACTTGCCATCTGCAATAACACTGTGTCTTGTAGTAAAGGGGACCATCTCTTTCTACTTCCAATCTTTCAGATCTCACAGGGAAAAAATCTGCATTTGGTGTTACAAGTCTCATCACTTCACTGACGTTCCTCTTTAATGATAAGACCAGAGGAGAGACAGGTGTGGGCTAGCCTTGGCAGGAAAAATATTCAGCGAATGTAAGCCTATGTCCTACTGCCCTTGTTTTTGTGGTTCATTTTGTGCTTCTGTCAAATAATCTTATTTTCCCATCTATATAGTATGAGAAAGGGTCTGAAGCAATATTTTTTTTTTGAGTCAATATAAAATTCTCCAGATTAGGTGTGTAACAGACAGTTAAGGGAGATCCTCCATTCCATCTTTCCTTATCCGTAGCTTCAGCTGCAAACATGATTGTCTAGCCAGAGACTACATTTCCCAGACTCCCCTGCAACTAGGGCACTGAAGAGGAATTTGAGTCTTCTGGCTGGCAACAGCTGGTCAGCAAGGGAGGTCAGTTGTTTGTGCCAGCATCTGGTCGGTAGCTTCCCATGTGTGTTCAAGTCCGTCTGGGCCTCCTGTTAGCAGCAGCGGCATCTTCCTGAATTCTAGACTGAAGCTCCATCAGGGGTTACAAACTTGAACTCAAGCGTCTCAAACCCAGACTGCCATTCCTACTATCCTTCCAATGATTTCATGAGCACCTAATTAATTACAGTGGGGCCTTGACTTACGAGTGTCCCGACTAACGAGTTTTTCGAGATACGAGCCGTCTCTCGGCCTATTTTTTGCTTTGAGTTTCGAGCTAAAATTCGGGTTATGAGCCAGCTTCAGATACCCCACCACTAGTTGGCGCAGCGAACGTCACAGTGAACTCTCACTCGTTCACTTTTTGATTTGACAAAAGAGTAATTTGAGTTACGAGCTCCGTCATGGAACGAATTAAACTCGTAAGTCAAGGCCCCACTGTACCTTCTTTCTTCCTGAAGTACCCAGGGTGGGACTGTTGCTGTAACAGAAGGCACTTTGTGAAGATTAGAAACAGGCAAAGAAAAACATCTTCCTTGCCCTGACCAGTTTGGCTCAGTGGCTAGAGCATCGGCCTGTGGACTGAAAAGTCCTAGGTTCGATTCCGGTCAAGGGCATGTACCTTGGTTGTGGGCACATCCCCAGTAGGGGGTGTGCAGGAGGCAGCTGATCAATGTTTCTCTCTCATGGATGTTTCTAACTCTCTATTCCTCTCCCTTCCTCTCTGTAAAAAATCAATATATTTAAAAAAAGAAAAACGTCTTCCTTAACGCTCTATCATGTTAGAAAATTAACGTTCTACAAAGTGAATGGTATGCCATTAAAGGTGACATCCTTGTGCAGTATAGAACCTGTCCAACTGTACATGGCAGCCTGGATTTCAATATCCTGCACTGAATGCTGAGGCAAAATAGAAATCTGCCAAGGTAGTAAAGGTGATGCCATCTCAGACAGTATTATTACATACTCTGCTTTCCCAAAGGTGCAGATGAGGTCCAAAAATTCAGGCTACTCTGATATACAGAAAAGGGAACCATAGAGGACAAGAAAATAAAAACAACAAATTGTTGTAGAAAATCAAACATAAAAAACACTTTAATTCCAGCCTAACAGCGCCAGGTGCAATGTCTGGGGACAGACTCTGGGTACAATGCTGTGTGACCACTCACTCACACACGTGGCTCCAAGAAGGCCCCCGAGGGGGACTTACCTTCAGGGGGCCGAGCCAAGGGGAAGAGGGAAGGCCCCCAAACGGGGGCAAGGGCAAGCATGGGGAAAAGGTGCTACTTCTTGGCAAAGGAGATCTTCATGGCGTTGTTCTGGGTGATCTTAAAGCCCTGTAGGGCATCACGAGCAGCCCCTGCCTGAACCTCATTGTCAAACTCCACAAAGGCGATGTCGTGCCGCCCTGGGACCAGGCGAACCTCCTTGAAGCCAGGGAACCTGAGAGAAGAGAATAGATCTCAGGGATCTAGAATCAGCACTTCCCCTTAACATTTTGGCATCTGGTGGGCAGAGGCCAGGATGTTGCTAAACATCCTACAATACAGAGGATGGCCACAATAACAAAGAATTACCCATCCCTAAATGTATATAATGCTAAGTTGAAAAACCCTAATATAAATAAGTGCACACATTATGAACATATCATTTAATGAGAAATTTTAACACAAACTCCGACACAACCATATCCTAGATCAAGCCACCAAACACGGGCCTCCCCATTACTTCTTCCACTAATAACCAACCCATCTTCGCTCCAGAAATAACCACTCCCCTGACCTTTAGGATCTGCTGTTTCTTTCATTTCCCTCTTCTCATTCCCTACTTCCTTCCCCATTAGGCAACCATCCTCATGTTGACTGGGTATCCTTTTACCCATCAGTATTCTTATAAAATATGTTTTGTTCTGTGGACATGGTAAACATGTGGCATTGCTTGTTTTACCCAGTTTCTCAAAATCTCCTCTCAGCACTATTTTAAAGAACCATGCCTGCGGCACTCTGTTCCTTCTAATGCTGCACAGACACCATGGTGAGCATCACCTTTGACTTCTCCTTTTGCGCAGGCTAATTCCCCACCATGACCCCTGTGAGGCATGTACCATCTATACTCCTTGGGACTCATGCTAGGAATTTCTTGCCCTAGCTGGTTTGGCTCTGGATAGAGCGTCAGCCTGAGGACTGAAGGGTCCCAGGTTTGATTCCAGTTAAGGGCACATTGTCTGGGTTGTGGGCTCAATCCCCAGTAGTGGGTGTGCAGGAGGCAGCCGATCAATGTTTCTCTCTCATCATTGATGTTTCTTTCTCTCTCTCCCTTTCTCTGAAATCAATAAAAAAATAAATAAATAAAAAAGAATTTCTTTAGGGACCTGGCTGGTGTGCTCAATGGTTGGAACGTCAGCCCATGGACTGAAGGATTTCGGGTTTGCATCCCGGTCAAGAGCAAGTACCTAGGTTGCAGGTTTGAACCTCAGCCTGGTCGGGGCGCATGGGGAAGTCAACTAATCAATGTGTCTCTCCCATTAGTGTTTCTCTCTCTCCCCCATCCTCCTCTACCTTCTACTCTTTATTAGAAAAAAAAAATTAATGGAAAAAATATCCTTAGGTAAGAATTTTGAAAAATTTCTTGAAGGCCTTTCTGGCAGTGACAACCTCCCCATAACATGGCTTTTGTTAAAGATCTCCTTCATCCCTCTCCAGAAGAGATGAGGAAACACAAGAAGCGCCTGGTGCAGAGCCCAGTTCTTATTTTATGGATGTGAATGCCCAGACGCTATAAAAGCACCAGTCTTTAGCCAGACAGTAGTTTTGTGTGCTGGCTGTTCCACTGTGCTGTCAATATATAGGAGGAAAAGCAAAGCTGACAGAGGAGCCTTCTCCAAACGAGAGCAGCACTAAAAGCACCTAAATCAGCCCTGGCCAGTGTGGCTCAATTGCTTAGGCAGCTCCCCGTGCACTGAAAGGTTGCTGGTTCAATTCCAGGACAGGGCACACGCCCAGGTTTCAGACTGGATCCCCACTGGGGGTTGTGCAGGAGGCAGCCGATTGTTATTCTGCTCTCACATCAATGTTTCTCTCTCCCTTTCCCTCTCTCTAAAATTCAATAAAAAATATTTGTTTAAATAATAGAAATAAATAAAAGCATCTAAATCAAGATGAGTGGGGAACCACTCCAATAAACACATTTTGGATGAAGACACACCCCTTAACTTCACTAAGCAGTGAACGGTTACCCTGCACAATGGTCAGAGTCTACATGCCATCAGCAAGGCACGAGGTTCAAACCTCCCCACCTACCACGCTTGCTGGCATACTGATTTTTGCAAGTCTGGCCAGTGTTCAATGAGGTCTTCTTCACATGTACCTTGAATCCTACAGACTAGAAAGCTGAGGCACAGAGCCTCTCCACCCCCACGAAGGTGGAGGACAGCACACACTCTGGCCACTGCTGACCCTAAGCCTCATCATCACCACACCCCATGGGCTGTGGGCCTGACCTCAGCCTCCTCTTTTCCCATGTCCAGTCCCTGTCCCACCTGCAAAGCCTAAGCAGACACAGGACTCCGCTAGCAGAATTCTGAGGCCTGTCCCCATGGTGCCACTTTCTGGTCATCACCCTCTGGCCCCTGCCCAACCACAGGCCCCACTTACTGATTGAAAAGCATGGACAGCATGAGCTCATTGGTCTCCTCTGGCAGGTTGGTGAGGAACAAGATGTGATTTGGAGGGTTTTCTGAAAGCTATAGGGAACAGACAGGAGCCCGTGAGTCTAATGGGGGGTCTGCTGACTTCTGCTCTCCACCCCCACCCTGCTTGAATCCTTTCTCTGCTTCGCACCCTCAAGACCAGTGGTTCTCAACCTTCCTAATGTTGCGACCCTTTAATACAGTTCCCCATGTTGTGGTGACCCCCAACCATACAATTATCTTCGTTGCTACTTCATAACTATAATTTTGCTACTGTTATGAATCGTAATGTAAATATCTGATATGCAGGATGTATTTTCATTGTTACAAATTGAACATAATTAAAGCATAGCGATTAATCACAAAAACAATATGTAATTATGTATGTGTTTTCCGATGGTCTTAGGCGACCCCTGTGAAAGGATCGTTCGACCCCCAAAGGTGTCGCGACCCACAGGTTGAGAACCAGTGCTCTAGACTGTGAGCCACAAGAAAGCACTGCTATATCCAGAGCAGGTGCTTGTCATCAGATCACTGAGCATGAATCCAGGTGCTGGCCGCTGCTCCAGCCTCACCCGGACCTTCCAAAGCTCCAACAAATATGTCAATCCCTTGCTGCTCCAGAACCTCGCGCTCATCCTCCAACAGCACCTCCTCAGGGAGGCTTACCCAGACCACCCACACTTTAACAGCGCCCCTTCGGTTCCCACGTTCTGACTATTTATACGAGACCCCAGGAGAACTAGACACTTACAGGCTGAGCAGGTGGCATCTGCCCTGGCATAAGCTGCTGTGGGGGCATGGCCCCCGGTGGTATCTGGCCAGGTGCGAGGCCTGGAGGTGGGATCATGCCAGGGGGCGGCATGTACGGAGGCTGGCCTGGCATGTGGTGCATGATGCGGGGTGCCTGAGTCATCGGCGGCATGCCCTGTGGAGAGTGAGGGCTGGACTGAGTGGGAGGCTGACAGGGGGAAGAAACTTGCTTTCAGTGTCATTAGGAAGCGCAGTGGAGAAAAGGTTGTTAGAGGAAATCCAGGTGTAAGACACAGGGAGAAAAGCCCAGACTTAGGAAGAGGTAAAAAAGGCAAAGGGTACCATGAGAAACAAACGGAGCAAAACAGACCCAGCGTCAATGGGGATGTCAAATAAGAAAGTTAAAAGAAATTTTTTTAACATAAAAAAAAAGTCAGTGCAACCTAACTTTGTCTATAAATATACGCATGGAAAAAATAAACAGGAAAAAATTCAAAGTATTAACAACAGTTAACTAAAAGAAGTGGAAATAAACAGTATAATGAGAACGCTATACTTTCACGTCTAAGAATAAACTTTAAAGAAAAAAACAAAGAAATAGATCCAGAGTCCTACAGAGAAAAAAGAAATGGAAGGCAGAGATGGTCAAGGCAGATACAGAAAGAAGTGAGAAGGGTGGCAGCGAGGGGAAGAAAGCAGACAGCAGATGACACAACACATGCACTGAGGGGACAGGCTACGGGAGCAGGAATCACACCTTGACAGTGAAAGATGGACAGAAAGCTGGACACAGAAGAGGGGACAGGTAAGAGTGGGGAAGCTGGACAGTAACCCAAACACCATTCCTGATGCCATCAGTGCACACAGGACAAATACAGCGTGAACCACCAGGAAAGCTCACGTGGAGACTTGGAGACTTACAGTGGATGCAATTCATCCATCTTTTTCTTTCATACTATGTGCTTCTGTATCCTGTTTAGAAAACAGGATGCTTCTAATTTTCATGCCTCACCAAGGTCATGAAGGCGTTTTCCTGTTTTCTTCCAAAACCTTTGTTTTAGTTGTCACGTTCGGGTATATGATTCGTCTCAAATTAACTTATATCTAGTTGTGGTAGAGTAATTTTTTCCCCTTACAGATATCCAATTGGTCCAGCATCATTTACTAGGAAAAAAAATCCCTTCCCCACTGGACTCAGCATTAGCTTCATATGTTGAGTAACCACATGTGTGGATCTGTGTCTGCACTCTACTCTGCCCCGCTGGTCCGTCTTCCAATACCACACCATCTTGACCACTGCAGCAGGCTCCCCCAGCTTTATTCTTCTCGCCTATCTTGCTTTGCCTTCCCACAGACCTTGAGAAACAGGCTGTCAGTGTCCCCAAAAATTCCTATTGGGGTTCTGATTGGAATTGTTGACTTTTAGATCAATCTGGGAAGAAGTGACATCTTCAAAGCAGGGAGCTTCTCCAGCTATCTACTGAGACCGTCTCCAATTTCTCTCAGCAGTGTTGTGTTGTGTAGTGTAGTGTGTGTGCACACCTTTTGTTGGATTGACTCCTAAGAGCTATTTTTTGGTTTGAAGTCTACTTGTGTGTGGCTAGCATATAGAAATAAAACTTATTTTTTCCACATTAACTTTACACCTGGCAACCTTGCTACATTAAATCCACTTATTAAATAATCCCAACTGTTGCTTAGTAACTTCCTCTAGATTTACTACACAGAGAACATCAAGGTCAAGGAGAGAGAAACCAAGAGCCTGGGACACAAAGAAAGAAAGATCCTAAGGAAGAGTCTGGCAAGCAGGGACAGTATTTCTGAAGTGGAAACACCATCATCTAGAGACAGGCACGCAACCTACGTAAGGAAATGGAAGGGGGGTGGTGTCTGAATCCCCAAGTGGAGACCCCTCCCCTACTCCTCCCCCAGTCAGGCTACATAGCAGAGAAAGGCATGGTGATGAAGGGGTCCTAGCTTACCGGGACAGGCCCTGGGACGGCCCCCACTACAGGGGCGGCTGCCCCGCCCTGCACGGCCTTCTTTGCAGCTGGGGTCTCCTGGCTCTTGGGCTTCCTCTTCTCCCGCTTACGGTCACGCTCCACGAATGTGCCCTTCATCTTGGCAATGATATCCGAGTCGGTCTTGGCATACTGGATACGCTGCCAACAGAGAGCCAAAGGGTTAAGAGAGTGGACTTTGGAGTCAACTGCGTGGGTGCAAAAGTAGACCTTACCAGGACCTGAGTAAATAACATTAAAGAAATTACTGGGCCCAGCCAGCATGGCTCAGTGGTTGAGCGTTGACCTATGAACTAGGACAGTGATGGCGAACTTATGACACGCGTGTCAGAGGTGACATGCGAACTCATTTTTTTGGTTGATTTTTGTTAAATGGCATTTAAATATATAAAATAAATATCAAAAATATAAGTCTTTATTTTACTATGGTTGCAAACATCAAAAATTTTCTATATGTGACAGGGCACCGGAGTTAAGTTAGGGTTTTTCAAAATGCTGACACGCCGAGCTCAAAAAGTTCACCATCACTGAACTAGGAGGTCACGGTTCAATTCCCGGTCAGGGCATATGCCTGGGCTTCGGGCTCGATACCCAGTGGGGGCTGTGTAGGTGGCAATCAATGATTCTCTCTCATCATTGATATTTCTCTCTCTCTCTCCCTTTCCCTTCTTCTCTGAAATCAATAATATATATTTTTTAAAAAGAAATCACTGGGCTTCAACCCTCATCTGTAAAACAGGGTTGTGGTATTTCCCACTTCAAAGAACGACTGTGAGGACTATGAGTTAAAGTGCTCTGAACACTACCTGACACGTGTTTAGCACTTAGTGGGTTGCTGGAGTTCTGGAGGGAAAATGTGACAGCCCTGAGCATCAGGCCACAGGTGGCAGCTCCAGGTGACAAGCCAGGACAAGAGCACTCTGCAGGGGTTTCCAGCCAACTCCCTACATTTAGTCCCCAAACTAATCTACATTCATTCAGCTGTTTGAAATCTTTAAAAGCCCTGCCCTCATGGAGCTTCCTCAGTGGGAAAGAGAAGACACAAGATTAAGAAGTGAACTGGAGCCCTGGCTGGTGTGGCTGAGTTGGTTGGGTGCCATCCTGTGCTCCAAAAAGATAGCAGGTTTGGGCATAGGCCTGGGGTTTTGGGCTCCATCTCTGGTGGGGGTATGCAGGAGGCAGCCAATTGATGTTGTTCTCTCACATCAATGTTTCTCTAACTTCCTCTTTTTCTCTAAAATCAATAGACACATAAAAAAATTAAAAAGAAGTGAATTGGAGAAGTATTAAGAAGAATTCAAATTTTCAGAGAGGGTGTCCAGGAAAGGAAAATTAAGTGATACTGGTGTAGAGATGCAGAGGAGGGAGCCTTGTGGGACATCTAGGGAAAGAGCGTTCTAGTAAAGGAAACAGTCATCCAAGAACTGAGGTATGGAAAAAAAGAACTAAGGTGTGCATGGGGTGTTCACGGAACAGCAAGGCCAATGTACATGAGGAGGGAACAAGAACACTGAGGAGTATAGGAAGAATTTTGTCTTTTCCTAAGAAAGCTAGGAGCTATAGATATTATAAGCAGGGAGCGTTTCACAAGGAGCAAGCAGTGTGGCCATGGTAAGCCTGTGGGGAGCAGGGGTTGAAGCAGGGAGACCTTCGTGCAGGCCACTGCCTCAGTCCTAACAAGAGAGAGTGGTGGCTGGGCCCAGGTTGGGGACAGCTGGTGGGTGTTTTGAAGGTAGAGTTGACAAGACTCCCTGACAAAACTCACACATGCCTGAGTGCTTGATATGGTCCGAGCAGTTAGTACTTGGGGGGAAAAAGAGGAGGAGGGTCAACACAAAAAGATTTATGGTTTTTATATCTCAAAAACAAATTCCTAGCTGCTCTAGAAAGGTAGCTGGAAGATATGGCAACTCTGGGCCCACAGACCCAGAGGTGGCAACAGACAGGAGTCAAGGCAATGGAGATGAGAGGGCTCCAGGCTTCTCTGCTGCCCCAGCCGACACTCTCCCACATGGGCTTCGGGCTCGATACCCAGGCTTCTCTGCTGCCCCAGCCGACACTCTCCCACATGACCCGCCTCCCCGACTGAGGTCACCTGCCTGGGACCTGCAGGCACTGACACATGCTGTCCCCTCCCCAAGGAAAATGGCTCAGGGAGGCACATTCTAACCAAGTCAAACTGAAAAATCTATTAAGGAAAAAGGAAAATGGCCCAATGAACCAAAGACCAAAGATGTCTGCCAGCAATCTGGCAGAAAGCGCAGCTCATGCCACTCCTTACCTCCCAGACTGCAGCCTCCTTGGTCATCCACTTGATCTTGTGAACACCTGCAATCCAGCCACCTTTCTCTCATCCCAGCCTGCCTGGGAGCCTGACCCAGCCTCTCCTTCACACTGGACCCTGAATTCTCTCCTCCAAGCCACTCTATCCAAGAGCCACAGGCATCTCCCGGCCTAAACCTTTCCATGGCTCTGCAGCACCCCGGGAGTCACTTCCAATTTCAGGACAAACTTTGGTCATGCTCTGCAGGCTATGCCCTCCCCACACCTCCTGCCTTCACTCCAGCCAAATGAACTTGACTCACTTCCTCAATTACATATGCTCTTGGTTATCTCTGGGCCTTAGTCCTCATGGTCCCTCTGCCTAACATTCTTTTTCCCTCTACCCCCCCAGCTAACACTTCTTCAAGTCTCACCTCATCAAGAAGGCCTTCCCTGAACCCCCAGCCTGGTTGAGGTGCTTCTCCTAAGCTTGTCTAGCTCTGCGCACAACCCCCATTACAGCCGACTCCTGAGTTGTCACCATCTGTTGACAAACTTGTCTCTCTCACAGCACTGTGAGTCCGAGAGGGCAGGGTTCCCTTAGGTATTGTGTGACCCACACTCTAGTACAGTGAACAGTAAATGTGAGAACAGCAAGAGAAACTCCTGTCCTTAAGGGACTGGAATACAGGTGACAGGAGATCCAGGCCCATCCAGTCTCCTCTAGC